TAGTGCTTATCTAGTTCGAAACGTTGAGTAAGTAGTCTTGGCTGTATTGAAATTTGAAATAATGTGGTCAGGCAGAAGTTAAAGTGATTAATCGCAACCAAGCTGATGATAGATTCTCAGGGTTGTATAACATTCATTTAGAAGGGTTTCGGCTTTGATTGACTGAACTACTGTTTTGAAGAAAGATGTTACAACTATTTCACCAAAAAAGTCAATATCTTTAGTTAAATTAGAACATAATTGGAATTTTTAGATTTTTCACCAAACACAATTTCTAAACTTTTCATGGTTTTTAAAACCGAATCGGTGATTGAACCGGTCAGGGGTCTGATTATTGGTTTGAACTGTCAGTCCATTTTAATAAAAAAATTAAAAAATAGTCAAAACCGTTCAAACAGTTAACTGGCTAGTTCAGTGGTTTACTAACCAAAATCAATGATTTTAGGAAAAAAAATGGTTTTGGGGGAAGACAGAACCAGTCAGGTGACTGGTTCCCGGTTTTTCCTGTCTGGTCCGATTTTGAAAACCATAAAACTTTCAATAAGCCAGAAGTTACTACATGAAATCCCTCCCAAAAAATGGTTCATCGTCCAGCAAACTCCCTGACTCCAACCCGGCCCATTTTTCTCTATGGATTAGCATCCTCTAATGTGATCATGTATCCAGCTTTTTCAGCTTTGATAAGGTTTTTTTAATGTCATTTTATCAAAAAAAAAGAGTTTAAATTAAATTGGCAGCCGATAGAATACTCTCCACAACGTGCATTGCGAATTATCTCCCGATGATAGGAGACGTTTTCAATACACAGTTAGATTGTGATGTGGGGCGTGTGTGAGGTATTCATGCAAATTCAAAAAGGAAAAATCCCTATATAACTAAAATTAATAGGAAAAATGTGAGATCACATCTGTGCCCCACATCTACATCTCAGCATGCATTGGAAACATCTCCCCAAGTTTTCAGTGGGGAGATGTTTCCAATACACCATTGGAATATGCTGTGGGGCACCCTATTATGTAGAGGGTAGATGTGAATTCTAAAAAATGTCAAATACAAGTTACAAAGGTGGGGTATAAATTTAAAGAAAAATTTCTAATTAGTATCTTTTACTTTGGTTCTCGAATTTTAAAATGCAATAAATAAAATATTTAGTACCTGTAGTTAAAACGTGACAATCTAGTACCTGTAGTTATTGAAAAATGTCAGGGTCACCAGAATACCCACTCAAAAGCAACCCAAACTTTCTTGAACTGAAAGAGTAAAGATTTGAAACTGTTAATTTTTGTCAACGTTTAGATGATTGATAAAGAAAATTAAATGACATTCAAAATACATTTGTTTCCTTTTCAAACTGTCACTTAACGGCAGGTTAACTGCTGATTAATAGTAAATGCTAAATTACCACGCTTTAAAAGTTCAGATAGTGAATTGTCATATTTTAAATTTCAAAGACCAAAATGCACTGGCACAAATTGCAGTTACTAATTAATCTGGAATTTTCACGGGTAGTGCTGATGAGAATAAAAGCAGTAATTTGGGCAGTTTGAAATCAAGATTAAATGAATAATTGATCTTAGGAGGGGTGGAGCTTTGATTGAGGTGGTTTGGAAAGCCACTGAAGTGCCACAGCTCAAGTATGACTTCCCCGGCTCCGGCCAGGCGGTACCGATCGAGCAACTAATTACCCACCATTCATTTACATTCTGTATGTTTAACGTGTCAAATAAAAAATTTGTCGGTGAGAGGTACTAATTAAAAGCATATTGAAGTCTATTCAATTTTGGTAAAGCATGTTAAAGTCTGGTATGCAGGTACATTAAGAAATTAAGAACTGATTGAGTATTCTCATATTCTCATGGACGAGGATGTCGACTCTTTTTATCTTTTTTATCTCATCTGATCCGTGTGCCTAGAAACACGCTATCCCGTGATGAGAGGGCAACCATTTTAGGCAAATAAACCCTACCATCTTTAATACCAGCCAACAGGAGTATATTAATCATGGGGCCCTGACCAACGAGCCTGTTCGGTCTTGTGTAGAATAGAAGAAGAATAGACGTAACTACTTCCTCTCTGTTCATGTCTTTCTACAGTATCTGCTAACCCAATCTGTCCCCATGTTTCTCTTTCTCACTCTAGATCTCTACTGTTTCACTCACATGCTTCACTTAAATAATACAGCACAATTAAGGTTGGCTTGTAAGGCCCTCCATCAAAGGGATTTCTCTCTCAAAACTGAGATGAACAGAAGCTACCTGGTTAATTTCTCCATTTTCATATTAGGAATGAACATAATATGGGTTCTCCTCTCATGCATGCATCTCTGCAATCTCCAGTAGCCACTAGGCCAGCTTCACAGCCTATCACTTCACCATACAATAAGAGAAGAATTCCTTTTGAGAAGCAGAGAAGGTGAGAATTGGCCATTTCCTTACCTGCTGTGGGCCTTGTATATATAATATATGCTCTCTCTCTCTCTCCTTCTGTAGTTCTATTCTCGGCCAGCTGCAAGCAACAGTGATGTGGAAGAGAGCGCTGGAACATCCATTTAATACACCCACCCTTTTTTTTCTGGGTTTGCTGTGGTATTCCAATTCAAAAGGTCGTCATCATAAAGAAGTTTGATTTCTTTTCCTTCGCATTTGGTAATGGTATTCATGAGGGACTTCTGGGTCTTATCATCCCTTTACAGTTCGGATTACTCAGGACTCTCAGGAATCAGCAGCATCGATCAGGCAATTTCGATTTTGAGAAAAATAAATAATAATTAAGAAGAAGTCAAAACACTTCACATGTCCTGCATTTAAGACCATATGCGTATTTCCAATGCATGTCCTGCCCCGAGGTTCATTTCCAGTTCATGAGAGAGATATCCTGTGATCTTACTTATTACAAGTATCTCTTTGTTAAAGAGCAACCTAGACCGACACTCTGACCGCGGTTTGACCATAGTTTCAGTTTCAGATAGTTTGGTCCAAATTTAACCATCATCTAATTTTTAACTTATACATCTATGTTTGTCCTAAATGTAACATGGATAAATCAAACGGGTCAGTTCCGGCCAATCTCCAATTAAAAAAAAAAAAAATTTAGGGTATACAACGGGGGCCCCAAACTCTGACGCAATTCAGATGTAATGGCCCAAAAAAATGAAGTGTAAGTCTTGCCTTAAAATTAATATATATATATATATATTACAGTTTATAAATGATAAAAATAACATATAATATATTAAATTAAAACAATAGAAGGTACAAATTTCATAAAATAGAAATTTATCAACAACACGTTCTAGCTTTTATGTATTAAATAAAATAATAAATTATCAATTAGCAATTATAAATATTTTATATTTCATGTTTCAAAATGCAAAGTTTTCAAATTATTTAGATGACCAGTTTAGAATAAAGGAAACATATGAAGTATCATTCATGTAATTGATATTAGCTAGATCTATAGTCATTTAACAGTTTTAAATAAAAAATAATAATTTAGTGGAATTGATTTAAAAAAAGAATCAATAAAAATAAAATAATCTATTAGGAAAGAAAATGAAAAAATAACGAATTTGAGATGTTAGATTTAGAATAATAAGAAAAAAAAATCCTACTTGATTTATCAAAGAAAAACTAAAAATTTGTTTACCCTATTTTGCATTGCACTCTCTTAAAAAACTAAGGCGGCTTTTGGTTTGAAAGAAAAGTTGTTATTGGCCCTTTTTTGCATTGAACTTCCTTTCCCTACCTTTCCTTTCGAACCAAACATAGCATAAGAGAAACCAATATGATATTTATCCTCTTAGTTTTTCATTCTAATTTACTCTTCTTAATTTTTGGCTCATAATTACTAAAGCGCTTATTACAAATGTTCTGAGCTATAAAAAATACATAAAATATGTAATTTTTTTTTTTTTTTGCATTTAACCACTAAATAATCAGTAGTACTTGAGGCTTGAGGTTTAAGTCTCACATCCCTCAAGGCTTAAGTCTTCTTTCAAAACAATGTTTTTTACACAAAATACAATGTTGAGGCACAGCAGTCTTTTTTTTTTTCGTAAAGACTGAGGAGATTTTATAAATTAAAGAAAAATCAAAAGAAGCAAGATAGAGTAGATGTTAGAATATTAATAGAAAATTAAAATATGCTTGTGTATTTTTCCCCTATTAAACCAAGTCGTGGAGGAGAAAAAAAAAACATTTTGTTTTTGTCTCCAATAAATCGGAAAATCAATTGAATTTAGCTTCATTTGTTTTGAAAAATTTGTTTTACTTTTTCTCTTCTCCCCCTAAACCTTTGACCGATGAAGAAAAAAGACCGATGGAATCATGGTTCAATCATAATCGGCCCAATTTTTAACTAAAATGGCTTGATCATTTGATCATTTTCTAGAATATTGTTGCACTAGCAGCTTTTGCTTTTGCTTACATCGTTACAGAGAGAGAGAGGATTTGACTTTCCATTATCCTTGTCATGCACAAATATATTGGATAGAAAAGTCAAACCCTAATTCTCCAACGTCTCCACTGCACATTAGCTACGTGTCAATGGTTATTTACTGAAGTTACGATCATCTTTCAGTTTTGAAAACAGAAAAAAAAAAAGTAAAGGTAATCAATTATCAATATTCAATAGAGGATAGTAAATTGCTTCATGCAATGCACAGAGATACAAAGTAATTATGATATAAATGAATGAAGTTTTTTTTTTGAGAAATTAATAAATTAATAAATAAATAAACATCATCATAAATTCCGAATAGGGATTTATATAAGCTTCAGAAACAAAATCTCATTTTCAATTCTAGATATGCACAGAACAAGGTGCAAAAATTACACTTTAAAGCCTACTTACAAAGAAGTACGATTACACATATATAAAGCCTTCTTAGCGGACTAGTTAGAAACTTATTCAATTAATTCATACATTAAAATATTTAATTTATATAGTCGTTTGTAATTTACACTTCTCTAGCATTGGGTGGGTGGCTGATTTCTTTCAGATCGGGCAACAGGGGAATTCAATGTTTAATGTTCAAGACCCAGACAAAAAAAAAAAAAGAAGAAAGAAAGAAAATAACAGAAAGATCCCCAGCAGCCCCCAAAAAGGGAGTAGAGTTCCTTAGAACAGCTCAGAAGTTTCATCTAGTGAAATCCCAATCAGGTCTTCTTGGCCTTGAGTCATACCTTCATCAAACAACCATTTCTCAAGCATTGAAAGAGGGGCTTGGGCTTCCAACTTGGGCTTGCTTTCATCTTGGAGTAGGCTGGTCTCTTGTGCAAAATTCGCTGTCTCATCTAGCGATGTTGATTGAGAGACATCAGGCGTAGAAGAGTCGAAATCTAACAGCGATTCAAAGGCATCAGGTGATAAATCGTCAGTATGGTTGGCTGCACATGCACTTGTTGTGCCCTGGCTAGAAGTAGAATCAGTTCCAACCGTCATATTGATAGAATTCTGAGTGGTCTCAGGGGTTGATCCACCAGATTTCGATGAATTTCTCATCCAACCTTCAAGTAACCTTGAGATATTCTCCGTGCTTGATGCATAAGTAGATGCTTGGTTTGGCCTCATCCAGGAGAAGTAGCTATCGTAGGGCTTCAAGTCGCACAGACTGTTTGGTTTCTCCAAGGACAAGGCCTCGCATAGAGCACGCTTGGCCATGTGGATATCAGTTTGAAGCCTCCTCTCCCACTGACCTTTTAACATGGTCTGGGAACCTGAGAACCCATCTTTGGTATGCCCATCAAAGCCCGTTTGAAGCTTCTTGAGCTTCTTCTTCAAATGGGTATTCCAGTAATTCTTGATATCGTTATCTGTTCTTTGAGGGAGATAGGAAGCTATGGCAGCCCATCTGCACCAAAATCACAGGCTCATTAATATACTAAGCCAAAGCCTCTCCAAATACAGACACATCACTGCATCAAGATAAACAAAATAGAAAAAACTCTGATATTATAGATGCCCATGTCCATATTGAATCTGGAATATGGGCAAGAGAGAGAGAGAGAGAGAGAGAGAGGGGGGGGGGGGTTTACCTATTTCCCAAAAGAGCTTGAAGGTGGATTATCATCTTCTCTTCTTGTTCAGTAAAGTTACCACGTTTGATCCCCGGCCTAAGGTAATTAGTCCATCTAAGCCTGCAACTCTTGCTGCATCTAAGCAAACCTGTCCAAACCCACAAGGAAAATAGTGTTAAAAAAAAACAGGTCGTATAAATATTCATCAAAGCAACCTGTACTTTCAATTTTTCACACAACCAAGAAGCCATTATGGACCTGTACTGTCTTAAATACAGTATACTTCATCGATAAGAGCAACCTAATTTAAGTAAAGAGATGAACTAAGATCTGAAAACAGAAACAAAAGAGAAAATTTACCAGTATTGGTAGGAACAGCCCTCCAATTTCCAGGACCATGTTCTTGAATGTAAGAGACAAGGATGATATCTTCTTCTGGAGTCCAAGGTCCTTTCTTAACACCGATTTTATCACAGCAAGGTGGTCTACCCATACCGCCGCGTTGGTGTGTTTGTCTCCAACTTTCTTTGGTGATGCCAACAAGAGAGTCTATTCTACTCTCCTCTATCTTCTTCTCCTGCGTTGTGTTTATCTTAGCTTGTTTGTTGTTGGATTGCTGAGACAAGCGTCCAAGGCAATGGTTTCTGGGTCCATATTTATAGAAGAGACTAAAGGGTCGCGTACGCTGACCCTAAAGCGGCAAAAGGTTTCCCTTAAGAGTCAAAAGATGCCAGCCAGAGCATTTACTCATGCCCTTGCAAAAGTCAGCTGTGCCAAGCCTTCTCTGCCTTACAAAACCGCGTGGCATTCAATGTGGTTGCACCGGGAAACCCTAATAGCGTTTACTTGTTGTTTCAAACCTCAATCCCATAATTTTTACCTTAATTTCAAAAAATAAAAAATAAAAACGTAAGTTAGTAACATCCATCACGATCTATTAATAACTTCTTCTGGTAATGGAGTTAAGTTAGCTCGGCATCTCTTACATACTCCCAGGGTCTCAGTGAAAGTACTCCCAAGGTATTCAACCTCCAAACCTCGTGATGCGTGTATGAAGTATGATGATGAGGGTTTCCAATTTGACTAGGTTTTTCTGTGTCCTTTTTTTTTTCTTCTTTATAAACATAAAATATATATAGTCTGTCCTCCATTAATAATTAGAAGCAAGAAAACAGGACTGATAAACCCTAATAAATCGAGATACGGTGATGTAAAGAAAGGGAGATAACAACTGACTTTGGCACGATGACCCAACAGATTTCAAGTTCTAAAAGCTTAGTCTATAGCTTAGAAAACTAATTGGTTTTTGTTTTTTGGGGGTTAAGACAACAAAGATCCATCTACGAGCTGAGTTTTGCTTTTGCATCAGCGGCCGGTTCTTATTTCTCAAAATTATTATCTACAAGAGAAGAGTTAGAAAATCTATCAAAGATCCATCATCTATAAAGATTATACAATTAACTTGCAATCCCTTTCCATGCATTTAAAGTCTGCTCCGGCCATGTGATCACGATTAGGTTCACGTTATATTCGACGTGGCATAAATCATAAAGCCATTCTCCCAAGCTATCCACAACTAGTCATCCCATGCAACCAGTGCCATGGAAAGAGATTGCCCTTCTCTAATTACCGGGGCGGCCGGAGACCGACCGGCCTCCCTTCACTTGGGAAACGACGCTTTGTAGTCATGAGCAGTCACCAGTGCTTTGCTATTTGCTCACTATTACAAGCGTGGAGACAAGAACAAATATTAATTTGAACAGTGTTACGACTTTTGGAAATGTTAACATCATGTTTAACTTTTGTCATTTTGTGCTTAATTTCTATTGTGGTTTGGACCAGCTTTTTTAATAGGGTGGTCAAAGAATGTTATCAAAGGAAAAATGGGTATGTGAAGATATCTAATTTAATGGTTAATTAAAAACAAGTACATCGCTTTGTTTTGTTTTCTGAAAAAAAAAATTGGTTTAAATATGGAAATGGGCATGATAAGATTTCATTAAACTAAACCTTGATTTCTCTGGTAAGATGTTATTGTTCAGCAACCAAGGCTTTAATTATAAGCTTGCTGATGATGTAATTTGTGCAAGCAAGCTTATTGAAAGAGTAGAAACCTTTTAGTGGTTATCAAGTGACAGTTCTTGTGATCTTTTTTTTTTTCATCTGTAGAGTTGGACTTGGGATTGAGACGGCAACTTAGATCTTCCAAGTATGTCACTCTTCTTTTGTACTCTTCAGGTGTGAAATAGTTTATGTGGGTCGTCCTATAAAAAGAGAAAGAAACAACGTTTATCTGTGTGACGGTGTGTGGATGAGAGAGAGAGAGAGAGGATTTGTTGTCATTTAGCTAGCATGGAGTTAGAAGTCGGCAGTTGGCTTTTGATTTCACATTTCCTCATGCGCGATGTGGCGATTCATGGTGGATTGGACGGTCTTTGAGGGCTCTATACGACCATAAAAAATATGTGTGAACTGTTGAACTGTGGAGTGTGGACCTTCTCAGCCTCACAAACACAATCACATAGACAGAGAGAGAGAGAGAGAGAGGGGTCTCATTCATTCATAACCATGAACACTATATGTATGGACAATTTTCATCAATTTAAACCAGAGACAAAAAAAACATACTGATCAATACTGCATACCATGGAAAACCTACGTATCCGCGGGTTTGATCCCATGCGACCATCTCGACTACTGATACTGAGTACTGCCTAATAAGACCCGCAGATTGGGTTGGGTTCAATTATGAGATCGGTGGTTTAAACGTTAAATACTAAAATAAATATATAAAAGATTCCTCTCCTTCTGGCTTCTGGAATCAAGATCTAGAGAGGAATCCGACCAATGTATTTTTAGCATTACTGGCCCTACCCCATGCTTCTTTTAAATCTAGTTTTCATAGTCATAGGTGCAATGTATATATAGCTGTAAATGGATAAATTAATAGATAAAACAAAGCTGCAGAAAACAGAGTTGCATTGGGTGGATTAATAGATGCATATTACAAATGTGGATACGTAACAAATGGAAGCGAGTGGTTTTTGGTTGATGGATGGGACTTCAACCCGCATCCGATCCAACCCATCCATCCACATTTTAATCTACCCTATGACGTCATATATGACATATGATTATCTCATTCGTTGATAAATTATATACACTCAGTAGTACCTCAGCTGTCCAAGTAAACTCTCTATTATTGCATATATTCCTAATGTTGCGTCATTTGGCGCTCCCCACTGGCAGAAAGCTTGGATGCTGGGTTGATGTGGTTGTAATAAATAAAGTGTTCGGGTTGTTTGACCTAGGATAGACACTCTAATGCTTAAGTTAGTAAAGAGTAAGAGTTTTGAGTGAGTAAAAAAAGTGAGAGAGCTAGAGATTAACTACTAAACTGTGAAAGTTAAATCTTGTGTATCTTTTCTGTGAAAGGGGATGCTTTTATATAGGTAAGTTGTCGTGAGGCTCACAAAATGCATCCAAGATCCTCGGCCCATCTAATTCGGAGGTGGTTCCACATTTGAAGATGGGCTCCGCATAAACGAATAGTGTTTATCCAATCATGCCCGAAGTGGGCAGATAACCGGCTTTTCTTGGTCCCGAGAAAGTTGAAGACGATAGTCTGTTAAGGAGAAAGCCACCCGGCATGTCTGGCAGGTCGCTGATCGAGGTTGGGTTAGGTCAACAAAGGCAAGTCGTCCTTTATGCCAACCTAATGTCTTACCAGGCCACTTGCAATTCAGCCCACCGAGGTGGTGCCGAAATTGACGAAGCGGGTGTGAGGTGTTCGAAGCACTTCCAAAACTTGTTCACGTAGGATATGTCACACAGTTATTACGTACTTATTCATTGTGCCTACTACATTCAGACACATTCTGAAATATTGTACAACTGTTATAAGATTCTACATGTCATCACGTCATTAGAGGGCCAAATCACACCTATCAATACCCTTCTTTGGTCCACTTGAAAAAATATAATATATCTTGTATCAATGTGGATGTAGTGGAGACTGAAGACGGATTGCTTCAGTTGTTGGACTCTTTTAATACGAGTTTTGACTTATTCTTGTTTTTCTTCTTCTATTTCTTGTTTTAGGGTTTTACTTGGTTACTTCATGCTCATCAAATTTATTGGCTGGACTGATAAGTGAAAACATGAACCTTCCAGAAACTGTGAGCGTGCCTGTGACATAACGTCAATGCTCGCGTCACTTAGCCATTTGTTCATCTTGCCCACATTTATAACACACTATGTGAGACGTGAAACCCCATCTTACATTCCATTCTTTCTTGGCTTTTGCGGTTTGGCCTACCAACAATTATATAAAATCTCTCTCTCTCTCTCTCCTCGTTGTTACTACTACTATTCCTACTTGACCCCTTGACGATGATGAACGATTCGATTACCAGAAACCAGAAAGCTCAGACATACCGGTTCAACCATCCAACTCAATCCAGGGATGAAAGCATGGGCTAACAGAATTTCATTTTCTTTCTCTTTTTTTACAGGTGACGAACTAGAAAAGACTTTTTCGTAAATGGGCTCAAATTTAAATAATGACCCAAGCGGCTTAACCAGCTGTCATACACATGGGTAGACAATAACAGCGGAGTCACGTGTGGATCCGGTGGCAACCACGTGGACCTACACGTGGTAAGATGGTATGTGTGGTCAAGAGTATCACAACTGGCAGTACACACAATATCACATTTAAGACGCACCACTGGTTAATGGAGAGACATGTCGATCAAGTAACCCATGATTGGGCTTACTGATTTCCTAATAGAGCCCATTCCAAAAAAAGTAAAAGGTTTTTTTTTTTACTCCCTCCCTCCCCGACACTCTCTATGGACTTGGGCCCACTGTAACCATTAGTCATCGTAGGGGAATTAAAGGATGATATAGCAAGACGAAGTCAGGCCCAAGACTTGAAGCCTGCTTTGTCTGTACTCTTCTCATTTATGAACACCAATCAAGGATGAGATTAAAAAAAAAAAACAAGGAAAGATGAGAGGAGTATCCGATATCCACATCAAATCTCCATAAGATTGCCACGTGACAACCAACAATTAATGTAGTCCCCACAGTCCTACAGATGAATGAATGTGCTGTGACCCTTTCGTTAGACACAACTTGTGAGACGGTGCCTTCGGGGATGTTTGTTTTGCAACTTCGAAAGTCAAAGATATCTCGAAACGCATTTACTGTGGAAGCAGTCAGACTCAAAAGGATGCACTACTTTCTACTTAGCTTAGAATTAGATTAGAAATATCACAGCCTAGACTCATAGTGTTGTTACATACTAGGAGAATAATTATGTGATGGACCTGATAATTAGAAAAGAAAGCTATTTTGTGGGCCTAAGATCCATTAATTTTCAACGGGCCCCACCTTTCCCCACCACATACAAATGGACACATCAAATATTTATGGTGAAATCAAGGGGATATCTTGGAGAAGTGGCAACACCAAACTCCCAAGGATGGCACCGTCAAATGGGCCCCCATCAACAGCAAGTTTATTTCTCTTTGCTGGCCATTAGTGGTCTGAACCCAGTATTTACTTTCCTCTGATCTTTTACCACTTGCTAACCTTTAGAATTTGAATTCGCATCT